ATAACATCCAATGCAAATAGCAAAGAAAAATATCAAATATAATAAATACGTATGCGAGTCGAAGGTAGATATTTATTGCTAGATGTTTGCTAGATTTATTTACTTAAAATTAATTCTTGCAAGTGGTTACGAATATAAAACAATTTAAAAGTCTGATAAACACAAATGTTTCGAACTTTTTCGGGTCATTATCAATGTGACAGTAATTAATTAAGTTAAACTGTTGCGCTACATTAGATAATTAAATAAATTTAAATAAAAATTAATAATAAGAAAAAATATAACATTATTTTACCCTAAATGAAGGCATCTTTGGCATACTAGCTCTAATACCCAGACCAAAACCATCGTAATTGAGCCCCAGTGGTGTTGCTTGCTCCAACAATGATGACAATCCTTGTGACTTGACATCCTCTTTAGTTGTATTATTGACAATAATATTATCGCTGCTATCTTGAATTTGATTTTTTTCCGATTTCTTTTCGTCCCACCAAACTTCAAACAATTTGAATGCCGTGTTCTCTATCATCTTCTTATTAAAATCTTTCTTTAGAATTTGTTTCAGTTCATTCACAACTCTGCTTAACACTCCATTGATGGTAGGTCCCTAAATAGAAACAAAGTTTTCTCTTAATGCAATGTTCAGTTTATTCACATTTGTGTGACAATAATAAATCTTACCTGTGGATCTTTCGTGATGTTATAATTTGCCATAGCATGTAACCGAGATTGGAAAGAGGAATAATAATTTGCTCCTTGATGATTTCCTATTGCTGCCGAAAAAGATGCCGTGTTCGGTTGATAATGGCTTTGTAAGTAAGTTGTTCCGTAAGGATAAGGATACTGTCGCGGCCAATTATAAACGTCGTTAGAGGGATAATGAGTCAAATGTCCTGGGTAACCAGCCGGATATAGTTGATTCGAAGGTTCAGTCTGTGCTATTACCTATCCAAAAAGATATCAATGAGACACGTGAATGCAATAAATACAACATTTCATATGTATAAATGATCTCACTTCCTCAATTTTTTCATCTCCAGAACTTAAAGGACTCAGAGACATTCTGTCGTCATCAGGCGGTGGAGGTGGAGGTGGTTCCTTAGGTGGCTCTGGTTCATTGTCATCGGGTGCTGGACTATAACTTCCTAACAATGCTTCATCTTCACTGGAACTTATGACACTACCTAAATCCTCATCCACAGAAAACTGACTAATGCTATTTTCATGAGCTTTCCTACGTTCCTTGTTTCTCTCTACTACTTTATCAAAACACTGTTTGTATATCTCATGTGAGAGAAAGGGACTGGGTGGCTCTGACAACATCTCATTATCACCAAATTGAGATTTTTTGTCATCTTCCGAGTCACTGCCAAACTGTAAGAAAGGAGGTGCCATTCCACCCGCTTTATCCTTTAGTAACATAGCAATTCTCGTATCTAAATCTAATGTCTTGCGAGTTTCATCAGGAGAATCACGAGGCGTATTCTTTGCTGTAGTCTGATTCTCCTTTTCCTTTTTAGGAGTCGGATGCACTTTTGCAGCACTGGAGGTTTTATTATTAATCGGTGTGACATTAGAACCAGCACTGTCCAAATTTGTCGCATGTGGTTGAATTGGCCAGACAGAAGTTGAGCTTGAATATCCTGCTCCAGAATTATTGCTCCACCATACAGTCGAGTTCTGTTGAATTGGTACATTCTGTGAGACATTTTGTGGGATACTAGTCAAGTAACTACTCGGAGGTTGATGATGATAACTGCTATAGTAAAAGTCATAATTTGTCGCTGGAGTAGAATTTTGAGAATAATTACTAGAATAATTCAATTCACTGGGTGCTGTTCCATAACCCAAATCACTACCTGTACTGCCGCTCGGCGTAGGATAGTCTCTATACTTGGTATATCTTGAATTTTCTATGTACGGCTCCCTATTCTTGTCTATACTTGGAATAGTTTTTTTACTATTTCTAAAGTCATCCCTCTCCTCGGGCAAAGTCTTTTCCACTGGTGTCTGATGTTTTTCTGGCTCTGGCTCTGGCGGCTCTTTTTCCACTTTCTTTTCAGGTGGTTTTTTCTCCACGGTTAACTCCTCAAACATCTTTTTACACTCTTCCCCGAAAGGATCCAGAAAAACTCTTAATACTTTCCCCATCACAGATGTATTATTCAACTTTTCTACACATGCCTTAGATGCCTTGGTTGATTCAAACACCACTCTTGCTATACCAAGATGTTTATTGTTTAACGGGTGATAATAAATAGTAAGTTCTTCTATAGATCCAAACTTCTGAACCATGTTTGTCAAAAATGTCTTATCGATATTGTCATTTAAATGGCAAAACGTTACTTCTAACGGAGGAGGTTCTCCACAGTAATTGGAATCAATTTTAAATCTAGGTACAGGTAGATCGAGTTGTTCCAATCGAGTCCAAATTCTAGTTAATTGCGATCTGGGATCTCGAGGTTGAACCTGTGGATAAGTTGGGTCGCCTGGAACGGTCCCATCGTATCTACATAGTCTTGTAGCTCCTTTAACTAAAAATGGATCAACCAGTAGTTTGAAATTTCTCTGAGTCTTCTGGGTCGCTGGTGGCACAGCTGTATCCTTCTGCGAATGTGTCACGTGGCTGTGACTATGTTTTGAAGATGGCTGACTCGAATCAGACTTCTGCGACGAGCTCTGAGAACTGCCATGGGAATGACGGTGACGATGCGAGTGCGCATGTGAATGTCCATGTCCATGACCATGTCTCTCCATGCCGTTCATTGCCTCCGAGCATCATCCATTCACATGAACTTCTGTCGTAAACATTTATCCAAACTTTAAATATTATCGCTATTATGCTGAATGCAAATCAATCTGTACAGCTCACAGTTTACTCGCATCCTTCTAAACAAGCGTGTCTATCGAATGTGCAAAACAAATCGTATACGCGTTCACACAAATGGAATTGTAAACCGGTAGGACACAATTTCCATACATCACTCTGTTCATCTCACTAAAAAATATATAATCAACTTCAGTTATATGAAAAATATCGAATTCGTTGTCAAAACAAGTTAAGTACATAGATATGTCTCCCTTATATCAGCGACGCGGCATGGTTACATGATCGAGATCGTTCGGTAATTAAAAAATTGCAAAGTAATCGCGCCTTTATGTGTATAGACTAGTCTTACAGTTTGTTAAAAGCATTCTTTAACAATTTTTTTTTCTCTTGTGTACTGTATGTGATCAGGTTAGAAGCAATGTTCGTGCGGGATCTTTGTCGTTCCTCTGTGGATCCTCACACAAGGACGCATCCTCTCGTTGCTAGATCGATACGATCCCCGGGGCGAAGAAGTTATCGATACGACAGCCTTTAGATCAAAACCATCGCGTCCTGTTCACGCAACACCGTCTCTCTCTCTCTCTCTCTCGCAGCAACTTTGGCTGTCCGGTCTCATATAAAAACGTTATGCGGTTCTCCTCAACCGCGGCACATAACCTAGAAAGCGCTTCTCAGCGCTCCTTTTAGGTTGGGTTATCCGCACGACGGTGAGCCACCGAGCGAGGACACTCTTCGTAGCGGGATTCTCTTGATAAAACGCCGTCGACGACTCCTCTCGATCGTATACACTTCGAATTTCGCTCTTTACTTTTCTCTGTCTCTATTTTCCACTCCCCTCGCCACACTTTTTTTCCGTCTATACCTCTTGTTCACTCTTTGTCTCCCTCGCTTGAGGGGGTCTATCAGTTCCACGAAAGAACCTCTAGATCCTTATGCCGCGATCTTCCTCTTCTGCCAGAAATCGCGCAGAACTTTTATAATATAAAACGTCCAGGGGGACAGTGCGCGTAACGGCGCGAGCGGCGAGTGTCCCGAGCCTATTCCCTATCGAGCTATCGAAGCGATCGTCTTTCGACTGTCCCGTTGTTGTTCGCTCACCGCCACCGCTGACCACCGACCATGGTTCGCGATCTTCGGCGATTCCGGGACTCTGAGAAATGTGATAAAACGTACGGACAGTTTTGTTTTTTTTTTTTTTTACCTCTCTCTCTCTCTGTTTCTCTCGTTCGCTAGCTGACCTGTCGTCACACGCGCGATTCTCTATCCTTCTCTCTCTTTCTCGCCGCGAGTTTAACGCACCTGGAGCGTGTTTGGCTGGTTATGTCCACACTACTTTATTTGCGCATACGAAACACTTTGCGCATTCCCGTGCTCGCAACACGCTTATTACTCTCGAGCCGGGTCAAACACCTCCTTATTCGATTAATTTGCTAATGTAATTCTTAATTTTTTCAAATGCTTCCTCTTTCTCTCTCTTTATCTTTCTCTGTCTCAAAAATTATGGATTAATTACTATTACTGGACGTTCCCAACCATTCCCAACTCGTTTGCACCCTCCCTCTGCATCCCGCGAAAGTTATAACTCGCGGGTTCTAGGGCGACTTCGATCAAACTCCGCGCGATTAATTTAATTGGCGATTAATTCAACCCCGGTGGAAAATTGCTTGCAGAAGACTTGTACATGAATTATTTGTAACTTGCCCTGTATTTCAATATGTAATTTAATTACTAATTTAGCATATATACATTTGATACATGTGTTCTTATTTTTCAAATATTTTGTATCATTAGAAATAAATTCTGTCTTGGAGATTTCAAGCAACGCGAACAGACCTATTAATTGCGTGAATGGGTTCCTTGCGATAGATTTTTGGTCTTGTTTTTGAACACACCTAAAACGAACCGGATGATGAATGTTGCAACATACGGCTACACAATTACAGTCAGCGCGTATAAAGAAAATTATGCAATCGTAATCTTTGTAATGGAAATGCGATTAGATAATTTTTTATGCATTCGTTTACGCAAGTTGTCTGGAATATATTCTTAAGAGAAGCGTAACCAATCACTTTTCAGTCTGTCTGCGACAGCCTCATTGGCTACTGTACGAATTATTTGTTCGATACAATTTTAAATTTCGATCAATCGATGAATCGTAATAATTCTCCTGAACGTTCTGAAGTTGCGGAGATTGTGGATCGTGGTTATCTTCATTCAAGTTCTTTTCTTTTGGAGATTTGGAGAGTTGACTCCTCCACGATTTTAGAATATCTTGATAAATAAAAGAAATGTCGATGCAAAATTTCTTCAAGCGTTATCTGCCAGTAGTTAAGGCGGACGAGGGAGAGGAAGAGGAATTGGTGGATCCACAAACAGTCCTTCGTGTAAGTGACAATCGTTATATAATGTTTTGTCTTTCGAACGCCTACAAAACACCTCGTCGATTTTTCGAAATCGGTCGCATTTGATTTAAGTTTAAGCCATAATTGTGTCTCGCGTTGCATCTTGTAATTTCACGATTTGTAGAAATTTTTAACTGGAAAAAGTTAATGTCGATATTCTGTCTACTTTTTTTTTTTTATCTGACATTTAATAAAGTAGCGAAGTAGAATACGAGCTTTAATAACTTTTTCTTTTTTTTCCAATATATGTACACGAATATTTATAACAATTTTCTTAATGAAGTAAAACAATTAAATTGACTTTTAATTTGGTTTGAACTTTAATCATACTGTTATTTATATCAATTACTGATACAAAAATTAATATTAAACATGTTTGTGATAAAATTTTATCTCTATCTAACATTATCTTGTACCGTTTTAATTTATATCTAATTCTTTGCTTGTGTAGGAGGAATGCGATCAACTACCAAAATGTGTCAGTTTAAAAGAGAAGTTAGACACATGCAACAACCGTGTCAATTCAAGATCTCACACAGAGGAAACCTGTCTGGAGGAGATTTTGGATTACGTGCAATGTGTAGATCATTGCGTTGCGAAAACTCTGTTCAGTAAACTCAAATAATTGCACAATACTCCCATAAAGAGCTAAACTGTTTGCAATGTTAAAGCTAAACATTTCTCTCAAGCGTTGTATATATATATATATATATGTAATCAAATACTAGCAATAAAAGATTAATTATTACAGATGAAAATATCTTTTCATGGTCTCTTCTGTATTTCAACTCTATGAGATAGTTTTTAACAAATCTGAACAATGTGTATACAATAAGATACATAAAATATGAATGATACACAGACTTTCAATTCAGTTCGTATCTGTTTTTTTTTTTTTCCGTATAAAAAAATGTTGGAATGATCTTTTTCTCCATTTATTTTGTCGTGTGTGTATAAATTCTTATGATGGTTGAAGAGAACCAGTACCCAGCAATACATCGAAGCATACATTGCACACGCGTACTGGTTTGTTCAAACCAAATTTCAAGATTGGTACATCTTGACCCGAGCACTTGCTGCACAAAATTCGTCCACAATGCCGGCTAAAAAAAGAGAATGTTAACTATATTTTTTAAGGATTGACACGTTCAATTTTTGTCCTTTAAACAATTTAACAATACCAATGATGCTTGCGCATTGTAAGGGAGAATTTTGTTCCACATTCTAAGCAGCAATCTTTGTCAGACCACGGCGCTTCTTGTGTTAAAGAATCTAATAATCTATACAGTAGCTGCTTCGTCGCTACTTGATAATTGAAGATTGTAATTCCATCTTTATTCATCGAACCTAGGCATGCTCCGGCTTTCACTAGCGTTCTACAAAGATTGCCATTCCCCTTCATATACGCGATCAACAATGGAGTATTTCCATCCAAGTCTGAAATATACAAACTCAATAAGATATATATATACATATATATATATAATGCTTGCCAGCAAGAGACATGCTGTAACACAATAATTATTTCATCTTTATTTGACACTAACAAACAACAAGAATGTAATTATTTACTGTCATCTCTTGCTGGAAAACACCCATAATATACAATTTAATTAAGAGAAATTGCCATTGTCTTCTTTCAGAATAATCTTTCAAAACAATTTAATCATTCTTTGTAACCTGCGTTATTAACTGGATATTGCGACATGCATTCTAAAAACAGATCGCATATCGTCGCAGCGTTGTCCCTCGCGCATCTGGCCAGTTCGTGTAGAGGATTACGACCCTTGAGATTCATCGCTTCCGCATCCAGCGTACATTCGGTCAATAATGTCCGCACTACTGATACGTGACCTTCTCTTACAGCTACGTGCAATGCGTTATCGCCATCCGCGTTTACTGCGTCAAAGTTAATGTTGTTCTGCGCAAACAAGGACTTGTTTGTTGTAAAATACCGTGAGTATATCGAGACAGTTGATTTCGATACATAGAATATTAGATAATTTCTTACTTGCAATAACGCAGAGACAACAGCGGCATGTCCTGCTTTAGCTGCCACGTGCAGCGCGGTGTTTCTATTTGCATCTGTATCATTGACACGAGCACCTGCTAAAATCAAACTTCGCACTAACATCTCATTCCCTGACATGGCAGCAAGATGTAAGGGAGGCGTTTGTGTAACGTCATGTATTCTCGAATTTACGTCTACCTGAAAAGTGACGATTGGCTGCAGATACTCCCTGGTTTTATATATAATTAATTTATTATGCCTAAATATTAAATGCAGTACTTGTATCGACAATAAAAATAGAATGCTCTCCATGTCACCCTTCTGTATGGCAGTATGCAAAAAGTTCCTGCCTTTATTGTCGTATTGCTCAGCGGCCTTAGGTAATCTCTCTAATATTGCTTGTGCAGCTTTGTTATTACGAACTGTCAGGGCGGTCGCGAAAGATGACAGTCCCTTCTTATCTCTTTTATTCAGATCTATATTTGGGTGGCACAGCAAAAGAGAAATAATCTGCGAATGCTGATTCTGTATCGCCACATGCACAGGTGTTTTTCCCTCCGCGTCGCGGGCATTGACATCAGCTCCGTGCTCGATAAGCGTTTGAACGACTTGCTCCAGACCCCACTGACAACACAAGTGTAATGGCGTGCATTCGTCTCTTGCCTCATCTCCACCAACACCGTTTGGACCAGGTCGTCTCGGGGCATTCAAGTCGCATCCGCTGCAAAATAATAAATTATTCAAAAGCGGTAAAACACAATGTCGTGAAAAATTTCTTAAATAACTTCTTTTTGCGATGAATTGAATTATATATTTCCATCATGACAAATTATAAAATAGTATCTGCAATGGTTTAATAATTTTTTAAAATAAATCTGCTTGTTATCTGTCCATATTTTTCTCAACTAAAGAAAAAAGAAAAAATTCACTCGTACCTTCTGATCAAGAACTGTGCGATATCCTCCTTGTTATCATCGATTGCTTTGTGTAACAATGTTTGTTGACAGCCATCGGGGCCTAGACCCCAACAATCTGTGTCTGCCCCGTGTTTAACCAAAATTGATGCAGTATCTTCTTGATCCGAATCTAAAGCATCCCATAATGGACATCCTATTGAAGTGTCTACGCCTCGCCTACAAAGAGCTTCTACCACTTCGCCTAGTCTACAATGTACGCATAGTTGCAACGGCGTCTCTCCATTGGCTGTTCTGCACATACCAAAATACAATTGTTAATAAAATTGAGACTGTGCAAATAAATTTTTCTGTAAGTTCTAATATAATTCACTTTGCATTCATGTCAGCGCCATTTTCTAATAGAAATGTCGCTGTAGCCGAATCTTCTTTCAGTATCGCTTGATGCAATAAGGTCAGGCCTTCGTTGTTGCGTTCGTTCACGTCAGCTCCAGCTTTTATCAGAGCCAGCACGATATCTTTGCCCTTCTTGAATGGTGTCTTTATAGCCAAACTCAAAGGTGTCTCGTTCGCGTTGTTCTTAATAGTTAATTGCGAATCCAAACTTGCAGCGTTTAATAGCTCGATGACTATATCAGTGTACAGATTCGAAATGGCGAAATGAATTGGCGCGTCGCCAGTGGAAAGAGTAACGACATCGGTCGGCAGCCCGTTTTTTAACAGAGCATGAGTCAGATTCTTTAAACCCACTCTGCATGCTTCGTGTAGTATCGTGAAACCTTCGTTGTTAGTTTTCGTTAAATTGTTATTACAATATTCCACTAAGAATAGCGCTGCCTCTTCTTTGCGTTCTTGCGTCAAGATATGAAGCAATGTGTTTCCAGTGACATCATATGTTGGATTCGGTATAGCGCCCTTAGCAAGTAATTTCGACGCAAAATATTCGTTGAAAGGTTCCATCTTCATCGCAAAACACAACGGTGTGTCATCTTCGTTCGTGATTTGATCTACATCTATATTCTTCGCCTCGAGTAATAAATCGAATAACATCTCGTTTTTCTCCGAGATACAGCTATGAAGCGCAGTCCTGCAAAAAAAGTGGAGAATAAAAAATGCTAATAATTTTAACTTGATCATTTAGTTTCTACATTATTTGCAGTATAAAGCAAGAACTCGCGTCACAAAAATAGGAATAAGAAACAAGAAATAGAATTTCAATCTATTAAAAGCTGTGTGTGTAGGTTGAAATCTATTTCCTTGTATTCTTTACCTATTCCTTTTATTGTGTTTAAATTCTAAGAGTTAAAAATTTTTTAACAGAAAGCTGACAGAGAATTTACCATCCCCTGTGGTCTTGTAAGTTCGGATCAATTCCCGCTTGGAGTAATTTTGTTCCAACTACCAACATGTTTTCCGTATTGTGTTTTGCTACTAAATGCAAGACAGTGCAACCTTCCAATTGCTTAAGATTGGCCGCATTCTTCGCACTCTCATTAATTTTCACAGCCTCGCATAACTTTGGTACACTGCCATTGTTCTCCAGCTGCTCGATTATGAACTCGGACGAGTAGGAGTCTCCCTTCAAAATAGCTGAATGAAGGAGAGAAAGACCTCTCGCGTCTTTCGCGTTTAGATCCGCTCCGTGTTCGACCAAGGTACGTGCCAGAGATGGTTGGCGAGTTTTCAAGGCAACTTCTAAAGCAATTTCTCCTTTGTGATCCACAACATTGACAGCCTTCGGAAGCTAACATAAAAAATCGCACCGTTATTATACAAAAGGAAAAGATATATAATATAATAAAAACTAATTTAAAGATTATGTAATAAAAGGCGCATAATTTTAAAGCTTGCAAGTTGCATTTTATTGCATTTGTATACTATTAATCTTAGTACACACACAGTAATAAAAACACACATCCTGCGTTACAACAGTAATAAAAATAATTTAAAACAATGTAATAATTGAACATTCGTTTACAATTTGAACAAACGTATGTTTAAAATTGCATTTCAAATATTTTAATTTTTAAATAAATGTTACAAGTCATAAATGATAAGAGTTGCAGAAGATTTGAGAACCACTGCTATCAGCGCGTGCACGTGTGTGTGTGTGTGTGTTCGTGTGCGTTGAAATGGCATGTACGGTATCGGGTCAGCGTGAAAAAGTGGAGGAAGTATGGAGATTATTTTCTGATATACATGGAAGACCGAGGGAGTATTAAAGCCAAGGCGGATGACGTGGTCTTCGCGGTACGTCCAGCCGACCGCAATCGGCCGTCGTTGTTCCGTGCGTGTCTGATTTGTTGTCGCACGAAACGGATCTCGTAGTGCGTGTCACGAAATAAGACATTATGATGCGTTATGCGAACAGCGAAACTCGGTGATAAATGGGCACCGCTTGCTAGCCGCTCTATTTGACGGTGAACATCGATACGTTAGTTAGTACATGTTAATTAAGAAGATAATGAGACGAGGAAATTTCGATTTGGAAACTTTACGCGAAGGACCACCCAATGGTAAAATCTAGCGCTTTCGAATCTCAAACGAGAGGTCTGTCAACAATTGAAAAAGCGATTATCTGCAATCGTCCAAGGCTTTTATAATTCCGCACATGACAAGGTTATTTAGGCGAAACATATGGATGATATTCTTTATTTTACAATAGTTGGTAAAGTCTCAATCTTGAAGAAAAAAGAATAAAAATCTTATATGTGTTAAACGTTATATAAATATTTTTTCAGATTCATCGTTTTCAGATTACTGAAATAAAATGATCAAGTAAAATACTTCATTACTGATTTAATCAATCTTTGATGAGATACGAACG